TCAATTTCTTTGACTTTTATGATTCAAGAAATCGAGATCTCAGTCAGTTATTGAGATAAAGCTAGTAGCCCAATGGTTTCCATACAACAAACGCGGAATATACTTCTGTCTTAAACAGTCGAGGGTCAAGTGAGTCGAACCAACGAACGTTACTTGTAATGTATCGCTACTGATATATTTTTTATCGTAATGATTTATTTTATATTATATCATTTCTGCTTTGAGAATCAAAGAATTTTAATTAGAGACATTACAAAATAATACTTATACTTTCTTTCAACTGATGTCTTTATTTTGAATTTCCTTCAAATTCATATTCATCATTAAACATTAGCAATAAAACTATTTTATAAAAAAAATATCCACATTAATCAAATTCTGATTATATAAACTATATGTGATAAATTATTTTAATATTCTTATATGATTAATCATCAAAAGAGTTAGAGAAAAGATCTTACCTGTGAAAAGATCCCTAGCTGTATTCGATGCAAGATTATACAAACCAAGTCCATGTAAATTAGGATAATTTGTTGGCAGAAGAATACGTTGCATAGATGATGATTCAACATTAAGCCATTCGATTTTATAATTAATTTTAGGAAGAATTTGCAGATAAAATCGATCAAGTATTGGATCAGTAAATTCATAAGATAAATCGTTAGAAGAGGTTGACATTAATGCTAAATCTTTTGTAAAAACTGAATCACTGGCAATTGCATTAAGTCGTTTATCAACGCTTATCAAGGAATAGAGTACATCAATATAATGCAATTTTTTTAAAATGATCATAAGAATTTCATCAGGTAAATCATTCAATTTTATGCATGAATATTCCATGTTTATATGCACTTATGTTTTTTCCTTGCTTATTAATATATATATACACTCATTCTTCTATTTGACCGATGTCGTCAATGAAAACAATGAACATATTTTTGTATAATCTGAAATGGACGACGAATGAATGAATAACCAATCGGATGAGATTTTCTATCTCTTTATTCAAACAACATATAGGCCCCAAACAGACTGAAAAAAAAATAAGGCGAATTAAAACTGAATTAACGAATAAATCGTCTAAGGCCTTGTACACACTAGACGAATTAAAAATGAATTAAGAAATATGATTGCCCATGTAACCATTTTTAGGTTTGTAATGCTTCTCTGAGTGTTTACATGCAATAGGCCTTCACGCGTTAAAACGCATCCAAAATGCAACATTTTTGGATGTCCTAACGCGTTCCGATAGAGAAACGCATTCTGACGATGTTTATTGTTAGATGCGTGTAGACGCGTTTGAGGATATCCAAAGTTTATTGAATTTTAAAAAATTCGGCTCTGTATCATGGTATCGATCCGTTTTTCTCGCCACATGATATTTTCACTTCAATCTGACACATTATTAAGTTATTGAATAGAGCGTAGCAGACGAGATTCGACCACAATACCTACAGAATACAATACATTGAACTTACCACGAAGCTATACATACTCGTACAGTCTTATCTGTTATTATCATGTGACTTTTTATAGAGAAAAAACATCAATTTCTATCGCAATTATTTTATTAAATCATATGAATTTGGAAACATTTTCATTGTTTTGTTTTGTCGGTGTTAGTTAAACTTGCATTCATGACATCGGTTACATATGATTAAATTAATAAAAATAATAATTATAGTTTTTGGATCACAGAATACGAGAAAAACGGTTTTTTCGATATTGAATTGCTTATTCAATGAATGTGTACTAGATACGGCATCGTGGCTTTTTTTGTCTATTTAAAGTACACAAACATTTAAATTTAAATTTTAAATTCAAATTAAGTAACCATTTTTTTTACTTTGAATGAAATTTTTAATCATATCAAGATTCCACTGGATCACGTATATGAATTATAAAATAATTCAAACATAATGAATTACAAAATAATTCAATAACATTAAGAAATACCAGGATCTCAAGGATCTACCAGGATCTGCAGCATCTACCAGGATCTACCAGGATCTTCAGAACCTACCAGGATCTACCAGGACCTATCAGGACCTGCCAGGATCTGCAGGTCTACAGGTTCTACCAGGATCAGCAGGATCTACCAGGATCTGTCTGAAGGGTGGGTGTGGATGTGGTCATATGATGCGTTATATTAGTTTTCAGGAAACTCAATAGGTTTCTGGACACCAAATCAATTTCCGGAAACTCCGTTCCGTTTCCCTAGTGGACGTAATGGCCACGATGGGCATAATGGCACATGATGTAAACGATGCTCTAAACGACTTTCCAGCAAAGTCAATGACTTTCCGAAAACCAAATGGATTTCCAACGCTCAAATAATTGCACAGAAAACAATAATTTCTCTCCAAATAATGCAGTTTCCAACAATGGAAGGTCAGGTAGTATGCTAGACCGTTTACCAGCCATCTTCCGTGATATGCGTGTCGCGAATGGAGTCACACCACATCTCTCTCAGTGTGGCTGCCGAGGAGGGAGTCACACCACGTCTGTCTTAATGTGGGTGCGGCGAAGGGGGTCACACCAGATCCTTCTCGACAATTGTGCTGGAAAAGGACTATCTTGGGTGTGGGTGCAGGAGGGCGAGAACACACACCTTTATGAGGGCACATCATCTGATTGTGGGTGAAGGCGGAAATATACACGCAGGTATAAAACGAGACCCTGGTAGACCCTGCAGATCTTGGTAGATCCTGGCAAATCCTGTAGATCCTGATAGCTCCTGGTAGGTCCTGGTAGGTCCTGGTAGGTCCTGGTAGATTCTGCAGATTCTGATAGATCCTGGTAGATCCTGCAGATCCTGGTAGGTCCTGGTAGATCCTGGTAGGTCCTGCAGATCCTGGTAGATCCTGGTAGGCCCTGGTAGGTCCTGCAGATCCTGCCCAGTCAGACAAGCACTGAAAAAAACGGCGTTTTTACGCGTAAAAAGCGCACATTTTTACGAAAAAAAAAAGTTTTATTTTTTGATAAGGAAAGGTTTTTGTAACGTT